TACCTTCCTGGGTGGCAATCTTGTAACTTGGAAGAGCAAGAAGCAAACAGTAGTGGCAAGAAGTAGTGCAGAAGCAGAGTACAGGGCTATGGCCCATACCACATGTGAACTAGTATGGCTGAAGAACTTACTACAGGAGATGGGATTCTCAATTGACAAACCCATGAAACTATATTGTGATAACCAAGTTGTTGTTCACATCTCATCGAATCCCGTCTTCCATGAAAGAACTAAACATATTGAGGTGGATTGTCACTTTGTGAGAGARAAAGTGATAAGTGGGGTAATAACTACATCTCATGTGAGCTCAGGAAATCAGTGGGCTGATCTCTTCACAAAGGGATTGTCTCGGGGAAGAATAGATTACATTTGTAACAAGCTAGGACTATATGATATATACTCTCCAGCTTGAGGGGGAGTGTTAGAATGCTCGAGTCAGGGGTATTTTGGCCATTCTGGTTTATCTTCTTGAAAGTGAAAGGTCTACTGTATCTGAGTTTAAGTTGTGTCCCATCTTCTATGAGGGACAAAATTGTCTTTCTTGTAACTCTAAGTTTTATGAATAAAATTCAAGTGGGTCGGCTAGGAGAGTGATTTTTCACATTCCCTCTTCTAGTCTAGCCAAACACTCTTCTTCTCTCCTTCTTCTTCTTTCTCTTTTCTTTCTTCTTTCTTCTTCTCTACTTTGACCTAGAATCAACTAGGGTTTATTCACACAATTAATAATCAGTTTTGGAACTGAGCACACTCTGTCCCAAACCAGACCCATTGACAGATCTACCTATAGAATTAGAGCTGGATGGAGCGCTAGCACTCAAGCCGACATGTCCAAAAAATGAGTGTAGCAGAAATGGATATGTTAACATGGATGAGTGAAAAAACTAGAAAGAATAGGGTTAGAAATAAAGTCATTTAAAGGAACCTAGGAGTAAATCCAATAGGTAATAAAATGAGAGAAAGTAGACTAAGATGGTTTGATCACATGCATAGAAGACCACGGACAGCACCCTTAAGAAGAATTGATCTATTGCAACTTGCAAGTTGAAGGAGCTAGAAGGGCTAGGGATAGACCAAAAAAGACATGGGTCAAGTAGTAAGAAATGATTCAAGTGATTCTCAAAGCCCTAGAGTGATTCCTAGTATTAATTTGACAACAAATATGGCATTAAACAAAACGGAATGGTGAAACAGGAGGTTGATGACCCCAAACAATCTATTTTCTTGAGTGATTCTCAAAGCCCTAGAGTGATTCCTAGGTTTTTCTTGTCTTTTCTTCTATGTTTTCTTAGTTCGTCCACGAACAGCCATCAAGACCTGAGAAAAAGCAATAAAAATCCTTCATTTAGCATCAAACTAAACTGATCCTGGATAAGCTTCTCTCAATTTCCTAAATTCTCAACATTGGCACACCCCTAAAGAAACTTCTCTCTCTAAAGAATCCTTACCAAACCCTAGTGAAAATCAAGTTTCATTTAGCTACCCTCCATATTTCAAGTTTCTTTTCATCTCATTGGAACAGTTTCAAAAAAATCTCACTAAAAACCCTAGCTTTCTAAGGTTTCTAATTTTAGGAACCATCCAAACCTTTTCAGAACCCCGCCAAATTCAATCCCCTTCTTTAGTTTACCATCCTAAACACTCATCTAAAAAAGTTGGAAGAAATTACATTCCAATCAAAAGATATTAAATTGCTTTTGTTCTCTCTAGAAATTTTAGCATATTACAGACCCAAAAAAAATCTTCATACTATTCCAAATTAGTTTCTTTAATCAAATCAAAGAGTGTTATAGCCTTTAGTAAACCTCCATCCACTTTTTCTAGACCTCCCCCTCACCCTACAAACCCAAACATTAACCTTAGGCTCAAACTCTAGAAAGCATCATTTCTTATTCACTTATTCACTTCTTCAATAAATTTGTTACCAGTCCAGCCTTGGATCATATCGGTCCTACATTACTATGTCAAAGCAACCCGTGCATTGGTTACAACAAAGATGTGCATTGGATAGAGAAGCAAACCTATAGTACAGAGGAAAGGATTTTATTTTTGAATATTCACAATGTCCCACATGATATATGAGAATCCATATAATATTGATTACTGTCCAAGTTTTTTAAGGCTATTTTTCTGGCTATAGCTTTTTTTTATCAATAACTGAATTTCATTAGATTTATAAAAAATAATTACAGGTTTGGGAGAGGTAAAGTGTCTTACCTCTCCACAACAATTATGCAATTACAATTCTTCCCACCCCTTGTTTAGCTAAAACATCAGCAAAAGCATTTGCAGTCCTTTTAATCCAATTGAACTGCACTTCCATATCTTTAGTGAGCCATTTAAATCTCTTTTTCTCATTATTGGTGAGCCATTTAAATCTTTTTTTCTCATTGTTGAAAATCCAGAAACCCTCGTCTTCCTTTTGCATCCATTCCACTACTGACTTAGAGTTACCTTCGGTGATCAACTTCCAAACATCCAGTTCCTTTGCCTATTGCACTCCTTCCATGACAGCCATGACCTCAGCCCTTAGAGAGTCACCTACTCCAATTGGGCCCGAATATAATCCAATAACTCTGCCTTCACCATCTCTAAAAACCCCTCCAATACCAGAAGGACCTGGGTTTCCAGCACTACTATCAAAGTTCAGTTTGATGTAATTAAACATTGGAGGAGACCAAACAGGACTTATATTGGGTCTATGAGACTATGACAATCAGAACTGGCCACTTCCTTCCATGAGTTCAAGATATCACTTGTTGAGAAGTTGGCAAACATATCCATAGATTTAACCCAATGAACCAGTCTCACCGTAATGGTTTCTATGATAGCTTCTCTACTTCTTTCCTTGTCTGACAACAATCTTGCATTTTTCTGGATATAGCTTTGAATACATCAAACTAAAATAATCCTGGATAGGGCAGAATAGAGCACTAGGACTCCTGTAGTCAACCCTGCATAACAGCACGAGTCCATGATGATGATGAGAGACAAGGAACAAAAGTTTTGCGGGACAATAATCGATAATTGCATGTGATTTCCAGTTATAATTGGGCGGGGTTAGGTAGTGAAAGCTAGCCTAACGTGGCATCCATGTGTTAGGTAAAAGCTAAAACATGAGTGACGGTACAAATGGAGTTAGATTTCAGTACAACCTCTGCCAACAAGTCTGTGACACCTTGTCATTTCCTTAACAAGAGAATCTACTAGATTATTCACCTCCAATATCCAAGAGAAGGAGATATACATGAAGTCTCAATTTCATTAGCAGTGGGACAAGGACTACCCTTTGGTACAAGAGTTGAAAAATGGCCAACCTGTATAATTTCTACAGTTTGTTTATCCTATCCCCTACATGCCATTTATAAGAATTGGGAAGAAGGATTCCTAAGATAGCAGGGTAATCTGAACAATAAAAATTTAGCCTGCTAGTGCTAGGCAATCCAAGCAGAAACATATCTGAATTTTCCTGTAAAAAACACTGTTCACTATTTATTAGCATTCACATTAATATCCAGTCGATCCAAAATCAATATTCTTCCATCATGGGATTTTGGGACATAGACAACCTAAGAAGGGTTTAGGTATCTAGATTTTTTTATCAAAAGAAAGTTGAAGAACCCAGGAAATCTGGACTCCTACACTCCAAAGGGTGAAGTTGAATTTTGACAGGATCACAATAGCTTTTTAAACAAATTGGTTAGCAAGAGAGATAGGTGTCTCTCGCAACTGAGTTCAAAGGTCAGCTAATGGGCTAGCTGATATGTTGGCAAAGGGAGAACTTGTTTTGGGCTAAGACTGTTTTTGGGGTCAACAGCCTTGTGTTTGGGTGGTTGACAGTTGTACAATTTTTGTTAAATTAATTTCAATGAAAATCACCGTTTCCTATCAAAAAAGTAATAATAAGTTGAAAGAATACAACTGGCAGAACCTAAACATCAAGTAGATGTGCAACTTTGCAGAAGGTGAATGATTTGGATGAATATAGTTTACTTGTTACTTGGGAACATAACCAATGGTTAACAAATTTTGATTGCTCACTCAAAGTGGGAGCAAGTGACCAAATTAAATTCAAGGAAGACAATTGGAGTTCAGTTTACAGGCTTTACTTGTACTTGAATGTTTATGAGGTGGGGGATCAGGTGAAATGGAACCCTTGTTTTCAAAGACCCTTGATGGACTGAGAACTTGAGGAGTGTTCAAGGTTTCTGTTCTGATATTCAACAAGGAACTCATTGAACTAGATATACAAGACTAAAGAAGCCATTTTGTGGAGGATTACTCCATTTGTCACACCACAGGGTGTCTGGAAGGAAGGGGAAAAAAGGATAATGCTTGAGAACAAGCCAAGACAACTTTACGGAATCTGCAAGGATATTAGCTCTTTTGTTATAGAATGAGCTCTTGGTACGGAAAGGCTTCAAAGAAATGAGCAGAATTGATTTTGAAGAAAATGGGAGGCTCTAATGTGACATTAATGAGAATGTCTGTATTTTGCTGTTTTCTTTAGCAACTTTTCTCATTTAAAAGATCCCAATATCATCTTTTTGTATACTTACATATAACAAAGTCCAAGTTTATCAAAAATTATTTCAGATGCAACTATTTTTTTGAGTCATATACCTGCAAATATGATTTGACACAAAAGCATTTAAAGAGATAAGTACCTGGATGTATCTGTTGGGGCCATAACAATTGCAATTGCTTCCGGTAGCATTATCTGATAAAGAAACCACACAAAAACCCCTCAATAAAGAACTACAATAGAAACAGAAACCAAATAGAATTCAATAAATCTATGTCATTCAAAGATGTAAGGTTATAACTTAATGAAGAAAAGTATTATCATTGACTGGAAAATTTTAATGATTATTGGAGGAAAATAGTTAATAAGACAAAAAGGTCCTCTTTCATCAATTTGTTTATGATTCCAGATAGGAGGAAAAGCAGTGCTCTTAAAACTAGGCAGATGGTTTTGGGCATTTTGGCCTTTATCATGCCCCAAACTTAGCATTTTTACTACCTTATTCTGTGAAGCACAAATTCCCTGCATGGAAAACAGTAAGAATTGACCACTAAAAGCCAAATATTCTTGTAAGAGGAAGCAGGGTCAACTGAGCCTGCCACCAACTTGAGGAAAAAGATTTGATAGAGACTTGACCATTAGAAGATGGCCACCAAATTCTCTTGTCAGGGACTAGGGTAGTAGGAAAGACAAAGGAGAGAGCTCTATGAAAACTGAAAGTAAAAGAAAGACCATGATCTCCTCTAGAAATAACCAAGGAGATGGTGGCCTCCTTATTCAAGGTAAGTCTAAAAAGCAGGGGATGAGAGGAACAAAGAGATTGCTGTCCAAGCCAGAGATCAATCCAGAATTTAATTCGGTTGCCATTACCTAGACTATAGAGCAAGAAGGGGGAGAAGAATTCAAAATAAAAAAACAAGACCTTTCCAAGAACTGAAGGAAGAAGCTCCAGAAGGAGACAAGTTTCTATCACACCCATTCCTATTTCTTCCACATATGCTCCAAACAACTAAGGCCCAAAAACAGTTTTGCTCCAAGAGGAATCTCAACAACCACTTATCCAAGAAAGCAATGTTTCTCTTCAAAAGACAACCCAACCCTAGACCCCTCCTCTGGTTTAGGTTTACACACCACCTTCCAGTTAACCAAATGATCTCTCCTTTCACCTCCACCATCCCACAGAAAATCTCTCTGCATTCTTTCAATTTGATTTCTCACCCAAGTTGGAATCTTAAAAACTGATAAGTAAGACATTTAAGTTGGAGAGAGTTGCCTTAATGAGAGTGAGCCTGCCTCATTTAGAAAGATCATTTCTCTTCCAAGTATCAAGTCTTCTTTTGTAGCATTCAATGACTGGGTTCCAAAAATTGGTTGTTCCAGGGTTACCTCCTAGAGGCAATCCCTAGTAATTTAAAGGCCAGCTCCCAACTTTGCAGTCAAACCCCCCCCCCCCTTAACTCCTCTAAGCATTTCAAAATCCTTCTCAAACTTTCAAGGTAACCATTGTTGGACTCAAGGAAGATGATTGTGTCATCTGCATATTGTAAATGGGATACATGGATTTCCTCTCTTGCAAATTTAACGCCCTGAATAAGGTGATTGTTAATCGCTTTCTCCATGAAAGCATCCAAAATGTCTGATACCATAGTGAAAAGCAAAGAGAGGGGACACCCTTGTCTAATTCCTGCAAATGCCTTAAAAAAACCATGGAAAAACCCATTGATGAGGACAAAAACCAAGCCGATTGAATGCAACCTTGAATCCAAGGTTCAAATTCCAATACAGCACAGGGCTGTATCGATACTTCAACCTTGTGGCCACCTATGTTTTTTAGTTTTTTTTTCAAAAATTAGATCAGGGGAGTAGGTCTTGGGCCTGTCTAGCCCCTGAAATAGGTCAAAACCCCAACACATAAGTATATTGTGTATCAGTGACCCACCAATACGACATGCATCAGCCAATACGACCTGATACATGACTAAATTTTGAACCTTGCATCATTTTATAATACTACTATTTATTGAATTTGCCATAAATATTGTTGTTATGTTATTATTTTATTAGCGTTTGTATTTGTATTAGCATTAGCAGTTGCATATCTGTATCTGTGTTTGTATTTCATAATTTCTCCTCATTATTTTATTACTTTATTAATATTATTATTTTATTATTTTCTTACTAGTATCTTATTATTATTACTACTTTGATACTATTTTATTATTATTGTATTATAAAATATTAATAAAGTATAATAAGAGTGTTGCTAATAATGAAGCATGAACAAAGTTTTCCCATCTTTGCATGGTGAAATGTCCATTGACATCAAAATTGCTAAACATGACTAGGATCCCAATCTTGGTTGTGAAGAGAATAGAGAAAATAATGAGAGATCTTCCTTGGAGAACCTAGGGAGTCCAAAAATATTCACGTTATCAATTGGGGCATGGTGTATGATAGTGAAGAAGGGTGGATTAGTGATTGGTAGGTTGATGCAAACATATCGTGTCTGCTAGGTAAATAGCTTTGGAGATTCCAATTTGATTACGACAATCTAATGGCACAAAGTAATTGGCAGTATTGTTGAGCTTCTAATAGGATGCTACGATAGCTACTAGATCAACTCATGCCTCTCCTTGGAAAGCCAGTTCATCTTTACTTATTTTCATTAAATATATTTTCTATGGTGTTTGTGTTGGTAAGAAAATCAAATTTTGGTAAGAACTTTGGTGGGGAGACAGACCTCTGAATGATCAATACCCCTTCATTTACTCCACTTCGCTGTATAAGAACAAACCTATCTCCCAGTTGGTTTCTTTTTTGACACAGGTCTATTGTAGGATCTAGAGTTAAGGAGAGGCCTAAGGAATTTTGAATAAACACACTTTTTAGACCTCGTTAATCTTTTAGAATGGAGTTTTCCTTGATACCTCAAAGATAGATTCTTGTATTTGGACTCTTTCCATTTTGGGTTCATTCTCTTGTGCCTCCTCTTTGAACTCCTTGAACATTCATTTTAGTCTTTGCAGGCTTTTCTGATTAGATCTATTTGGTCTAATCACACTAACTATTCTCTCCTAAAACAAGTCTAATCAACATTATGCTACCCTCTGTTCTCTCAAGATATAGAATTTCATTCTTTTATTTCTCTATCTACTAATATCCCTGCCCCGGTTATATCAATGGTTTCTCTTGAGAGGCGTCATTTACACCCATCAACTGCCTTTTCTTGTTCTGCCATTTCATCTAATCCCTAATAAGCACTATTCTGTTGACTGTCATTCTTCATTATTTTTTTTTTATCAATAACAATGAACTTTTATTAATAAGGAATTAAATAATCAGAGTTACAAAGGAGGGAGCTAAATAGTCTTAACTCCCAACTACCCAAGGTACACTCTGACCATGAAGCAATTACAATTACAATTACAAAACAGCCCAGAACATAGTATTCCTGTTTACCCCTTGTTTAGCTAAACCACCTGCCAATGCATTTGCAATTCTCTTTATCCATGTACAATGTATTTCCATGTCCTTGGTGAGCCACTTGAATTTCCTCTTTTCATTGCTGTATCTCCAGAGCATAGAACTGTCCTCTGTTAGCCAATTCACCACAATTTCAGAATCACCTTCTATAATCAGATTTCTAATATTCAGTTCTTTGGCCCTTTGTATCCCTTCAATAGCTCCTAGAATCTCAGCCCTCAAAGAGTCTCCTACCCCAATCGGACCAGAGTACATAGCCATCAAATTTCCTGCTTCATCCCTTATTACTCCCCCTATTCCAGAAGGCCCTGGATTGCCTATGCTGCTACCATCAAAATTCAGTTTGGTGAACCCATGAGGTGGAGGTGTCCAGCAAAAGTTAATGTTCTTCCTACTTGAGCCTGTCTCTGCAATCTCCTTCCAGCTCTTTATCATCCCATCAACTGAGAACACTTTAAACAATTCCAATGTTCTCAACCAATGTATCATCCTGAGATGGATTGTCTCAAGGATTTCATCCATACTTCTCTCCTTATCAGAGAATATCCTTGAGTTTCTCTCCTCCCAAACAGTCCAACATATCGCAGCCCTACCACATCTCCACATGATCTTGGCCCTTTTGGTTGGCCAGTTGGGCATGGAAGTAAATAAGCTTTGCACAAACAAAGGAGGAGTCCACCTGCACCCAAACAAAGAAGTAAACCATTCCCAAATAACCTTAACAAACTGACAAGAAATTAGTAAATGGTATCTAGACTCACCATCAGATTTACAGAAAACACACCAGTGAGGAGACAAACAACTGTTGGGTCTTTTTCTTTGGAGTAGATCCCCTGTATCAACTCTTTCCAAAAAGGATTCCCAATAGATGCTCCCAACCTTTGGAGGTATAGGTCGACACCCTACATCTTTGATAGGGAAAGACAATCCAACCGGAGGAGAGGGTAACAGTGCTCTAAAGAAGGAGGCACAAGTGTAAGAACCCGAGGGAGTGAGTGTCCATATTTTGCTATCTAGCTTTACTGGCTCAATGAAAACCCCTTCAAGAATGGAAAGTAAGGCTAAAGTACAGGCTAACTCTGTGTCCCTGACATCTCTTCTCATACTCAAATTCCATCCAAACCCAGAAGGTGAATTAGAAGGAACAAGAAAAGAGGAAACTGGTTCATTTTTAAAGGTAGAGATAGCATAAAGGCTTGGAAATTGATCTTTCAATGAGGAGTCCTCAACCCAAACATGTTCCGAAAATTTAATGAGGCTACCTGAGTGCAAATCATTCCTGATCCATGGAGAGAACAAGGGAAAAATGGCTTGAATAGCTTTCCAAGGAGAAGCTGTTGTGGCCCTAGCTAGAATCCCAAAATCCCATCCATTGTCTGCCAGCCCATGTATACTTCCCACTACCTTAACCCACAATTTTTCTTTCTCCACCGAGAACCTCCACAACCATTTCCCTAGTAATGTTAAGTTCCTAGTTCTAATGTTCCCAATCCCCAAACCTCCCTCCTTTTTGCCCCTACATACTATCTCCCACCTAACCCTATGATCCTTCTTCTCCTCCCCCGGCTCCCAAAGAAAGTCTCTCATTAGTTTTTCCAGTCTACTAGCCACCTTAGCCAAAATCTTAAAAACTGACAAAAAATAAACAGGGAGGTTAGCCATAGTAGACCTTATTAAAGTGATTCTCCCTCCAAGAGACAAATAGTTTTTCTTCCAGTTAGCGAGTCTCTTTTCAAATCTCTCCACAACAAGGGCCCAAAAATCACCTTTCTGAGGATTATCCCCCAAAAGTAGACCAAGGTAATTTAATGGCCAATTAGAGACTACACATCCCAGCATGTCTGCATACTCACCAATCTCCCCTTTCCCCCAAATTGACTCCAACTATACAATTTTTCTCAAAGTTCACCCTCAGGTTTGACATCTGCTCAAAAAGTTGTATAGTGAGCTTCAAGTTCCTAATCCAATTGATATCCCCTCCTTCACAAAACAAAATTGTGTCATCTGCAAATTGTAGGTGTGTAAGCGGTATACCATCTCTTCCAACTCTCCACCCTCTTATTATGTCACCACTAACTTCATACTCTTATCTCTCATGATTCCAGGTCTCTGGACAAATCCTTGCCTCTTGTGCTAATTTAAGAAAAAAAAAGTCTCTTGGACTAATATCTCATTTCTCTACCCATGCTAATCCAAAAGGATGCTATGGCTCCAATGAATATGGAATTCTATGGAACTGGATGGGCTGGAGACAATCATGCACGCTGAGTTGAACAACCTATCACGGGTGAATATGCCAGTATTCCATACACATGGGGCCCACACCTTATGCGTAGGAACACTGGTGTGTCCACTCATGATAGGTTTCCCATCCCGCTTTGTATGATTTTGTATCCAGCCAATCCAGACTCAAATTATATTGCCTTCTCTCTTTTATCACATATTTAAATGAAATTTAAGCCAAAAAAATTATCTGGAAGATCATATAGTAAGGATTTGTATGTGCGCTTTCTTGTACCCAAATCTAAAGCACAAACACAGGTCAATAAAAGAAGTAAAAAACATGTACTTTAATGTTAATTGTTCCTATCAAATCACATTTAAGTATAGAATAGATTTGCTAAGATCTTAATAAAAACTGGGTATGTCCTCATTGAAAAGACAGAAGGCACCCCTGTTTATAACCTAGAAGTCAATCTTTTGTTTAATGTGTACATCTTGACCAATAATTAGGAGCACTTCAATCACTCCCCACTTCCTGAAAAAGAAAAAGAAACCTCCAGAACTTATTAAAAAACAGGCAGACAACTCATTTAATCAGAGAAAAACTGGAGTGGTTAATACAGACAAGCAAAATAGATAGACTAGAAGTTAACAGTTAACTACATGCAGGAGTTCTTAGAGTTTTACTTTTTACCTGATATGAGTAATGTGTGTGAAGATCAATTGATGACATGAAGCAAGTTTGTGATGGATGTGTCTGAAAATCAAAGGCAGAATCTAATCAGGAATGGAGTCCAAGGATATCTTAGCTGCCTTGAGTAAAATACTACAAAAATGTAAGACATCATAAAAAGTAGCATGGTTTCCATCAAATTTGCAGATCCTAAACTGAACTTGCAGTTCAGGTATGAACCTTAAAGAACAAAAGCCTCATTTCTGAGCTACTTTTCCCTGTAGTATTCTTTGTTAAGAAGGTTACTACAAATCCAACAATTAAAGGGCCTCAGTATACTTTACAAGCTTTATAGGTACACCTAATTTAAAATTTTAAAGCATGTAGTAGATATATAAATGCTGCTGACGCCTGACTAAACATTGTAGGATTATCATCTAAAGGAAACTAGAAAGTGAGATTAACCACATACTTCTTTAGCTTAAAATGCTTGTATGTCATTTGTTCATTTGATGGTGAAAAATATTGGCAAACTCAATTGTTGTGAAATATCCCCTAAAGTGGAATGTAAGAGTCTTTTAGGACAAGTCCAAATTATGCAAAGCCCTGTGAAGAAGCTATTAAATCATACATAGAAGTTTGATGTATTGTCTCTAAGAGAATTTCTGATGAAGACAGGGATTTATTGGAGCTAAAATTAGAGAAAGCAGGCATCATAAACAGTATAAAGTTGAAAATGGCACATTGAGTAAAAACATTAGAGGCTTTTAAAGCCTTCTAAAATAGATGATATCATGACATCATGGGAAGCAGTGACAAAGTCCACAATTGTGAAAGACATAGTTGTGTTGAAGTGGAAACCCATCTCACAAGATGAAACTAAATTTTGATGGAAGCTCTTTAGGAAATCCTGGACCCTCAGGAATTGGAGGAGTATTTAGAAATGAAGGTGTGGTGGTAGCAATGTATTCAGGACTGATGGGGACCCTTTGAAAGCTGAGGTTCTTTCTCTCTTACAAGAGCTGAAATTAGCTAAACAGCTTGGGATGAAGCATGTGGAGGTTGAGGGGTACTCAAAACTAGTTATCTCTCAGATGATCTGCAACAATCCGGGTGCTTGGATATTCAGACACTTTTAGGGAGATGAGAAGGTTGGCTATAGAGGTGGAAGCATCTTTCAGATGGGTGAAAAGAATGGCAAATGGATTAACTGATGTCATAGAAAAGCAAGGGATTTATAGGGAACAGTTTTTTGGGCAGAATTGTAAAGGGTTGGATATAAATTAATATGTTTCTGGATTAATGTCCACGCATCATATGTAATGATTTAAATTCACATTTAATGAAAATTTCTGTTGCTGATCAAAAAAAAATTGAGGAAGCATAGGTGCTATAGGCTCTCAAAGAATTGAAGGGAGACAAGGCTCCAGGTCCGGACAGATTTCCCTTGGCCTTCTACAATAAAGTGTTGGCACTTCCTTAAGAATGATTTCATGATGATGCCACAGGAGTTCCATGACCAGTCCGAGATAGCTGTGGAAGAAAAGTCCATTTTCATTTCTCTAATCCTGAAGCTTCAAGGGGCTGTGGCACTAAAGGATTACAGGCTAATAGGTTCAATTGAAAGCTCTTACAAGATATTAGCCAAGCTATCGGCTAACAGGCTAAAGAGAGGTGCTAGGAAAGATAATTTCTCTGTTGCAATGAGCATTCATTACTGCACATCAGATTTTGGATGGCTCCTTGCTAGAAAATGAGCTTATTGATTCTAGAAGGAAACAAGGTGAGCCAGGAGTAATTTGTAAGTTGGACATGGAAAAAGATTATGACCATGCCAATGGAGTTTCTATGACCATTTGTTGCAAAAGAATGGGTTCTGGCATTAGGTGGAGATGGATTCAAGCACGTATCTCAGCAGCTAGATTTTCAGTGCTAGTGAATGACAACTCAAGAGGGTTCTTTGAAGGAGAGAGGGGGCTTCAGCGAGGTGACCCCCTCTCACCTTGCAAGGAGCATTTCGTGCTTGAGGCACAAGGTGCAAGGAAAGGTGTTCATTTTTTAAGCAAGGCACAAAATTTTGTTAATTTTTCAAAAATGCAAAAAAAAAACAAAAAAAAAATAAAAAGAATATTAATTAAAAATGCTCAATTAAATTTTGAACTAAATGTTCTTAGCTCAAATTAAAATCTATAAACATAACATATAAATCATACTTTAGCACTCAACAATTCAAGCATGTGAAGCTTTTGATTTTTTTATTTATTTCCCAATCGCATTACTTCAAATAGCTAATGTGATGTTAGACATCTTGCATTCCTAATTCTATGAGCCACCTTAGTACCAAACCCCTTGCAAGTTGCGACAAACCTAAACAAGCCCATACTAGGGTATTAAGTACTTAATCCGTACAAAAAAGATTGGTTTTGCAATCTTAATATAGTCCCTTATCTTTTAAAAAATGCCTTGCATTAAGAAGGATAGCGAATAACATAAAAGAAAGGGGATCATACTCCACTCTGGCTTGCTCATTTTGCTCGCTCAGCAGTGCTCCAACAACCCCTTTTTTAAACACATTTTTAAAAGGACATTTTTTGGTAAGTATCATTTAGAAGCCTAATACAAGCTGCATCAGGTGTTAAAAGAGAGGAATCTAATTCACCAAGTATAAGATCACAGTATCTAAGTATAAAAATAAAACAAAATAATTGAATAGGTGGTAATAGTAATCAAAAGGAACTTGAACTTACATGAATCCACCCAAGAGGGAAAAGGGAGAGTTTGTCTTGAACATCAAAAATTTCTTCTTCATTCATTGTCTGGCACTGAACAATAGCAATGTGCTAAAAGCATTAAGTGCCTAATAGTATAAGCATACTGCTAACAGAGTAGCAATACATGTAAATGTTGATCAAGTGAAATCATAAGATTACAGTCAAACCAAAAAACCAAATGCTGGTTATTCCCATTTATGAAGTAAGATATATAAAGTGGAAACTGTATTCAGTTCAAACTGGGATTTTTTACTAGTAATAGAAACATTAATATTTAATGAAAAAAAATGGTTGCACAGGATGTTCCATGCACCCCTCTTAATAATTTAAGCTAGCAACTTTTACATAACCCTTGCACAAGCATTCCTTCTTACACAACTCTCCAGGAGAATGACCCCCTAGTTCCCCTCTAGTAACCCGCTATCTAGCTAGAGCATCCACTAAATCATTAGCTGATCTTTCTACCCAAAAAAGTTGCTCTCAACTCCTCTAATTAATTGCCAAATTTCTCTAACTTTATGCCTGTAAACCCATGAGCCCCTGTTTTTGTTTGAACCATCTCATCATTCTCTTGAATCCCCTTTCTTTTTACATGGTTGGAAAACCAGGATATTGAAGGATGTGGGACAAGTAGGCTGATCTATGAAGAACATAGGATGTATGACAATACTGATCTAGAAACCATATTCTGCATGGCTAGATAGGTCAATGCACCACTTGGTGACTAACTTTAATATAATACAACCCCACATATAGACTTTTCAAATGCTGAATTTACAGATTTAAAAGACGGAAGTTGCATGATGGAAAACGAGAGGTTCGTGGAGGCAGCAAAGTGGAAGTGAGCATTGAAGGTGGAAGTAAAAGAGTTCCTGTTTGAAGAAATCCGAATCAGAAGGCTGAAGATTTTGAAGATTAGAGAAGCAAAGAAGGCTGTGGTACTGATTGAAGGACTTGAAGCTGTTGAATGGGTTAGGGACTTTGTGTTTAAAGCAAGCTCAAAAAGGCAAGCAATCCAACTGGAAAGAGCTCAGTACAGAAGGAGGGAGAAAGCATGGTTTCAAATGTCGCCAAATGTCACTAATGTCGCCCAACATATGTCGATGTCGAGGCTCACCGACATAAAAGTGGATGGTAATATAAAAATTACATTATGTCGGTCGACATTTCCTATATTTCGGAAATGTCGACCAAATCGGTCCAAATAACCAAAATAATACAGTTTTTCCTGTTATGTCGACAAGATGTCGACAGGATGTCAACTAATGTACATTAAAAATATAATATATTAGTATATTATATTAATATAATACAGTATATTAATATAGATTATTCCATTAATAATTTTTATTTAATATTTCAAATAAAATATTTATAAAAAGAATTAACAAAATATAAAAACA